GACGCGCTTGCATTTAAATCCGGCTCCCGTCGCTCTGTGCAGCTGGCCTGTACCACTACACCTGCTGTGCCCCCCACCCTTCTTTCACATAATGGTATGATCCTAGTGTGTCCTCGCATATGATTGGCCGCATGATGGCCCTAAATAAAGTCCCGCCCCTGCCTGCAAGGATTCTCAGCAAGAGTAGAGGCCCCCCGGCGTGTTGGAGACCCCTGAATTAAATTATCAAGTCACCTCAAGTCAGAAGGCTCAAGTCCAAGTCAAGTCCCAAGTCATTGGTGTTCAAGTCCAAGTCGAGTCGCAAGTGTTTTGTGATTTTGTCAAGTCGAGTCTCAAGTCATCAAATTGATGACTCGAGTCTGACTCGAGTCCAAGTCATGTGACTCGAGTCCACACCTCTGGATATAGGAACATTTATTAACTTATTAAAGAAACACTTAATTCTTCAGGAATCAGAAAAATATTAACTTAAGCTGACAAATGTAGAAAAAAACCCGACAATATTTCCCTCAAATGTAGAAGAGTATAAGAAGAATATGCTTTAAATGGAAATTCTCAAGTAAAAAGACAGTACCACAAATGTGTACTTGAGAAAAGTACCACCACTGCTCATTATTAAACAACCACTTCATTAACAATTAGATGTTGGTCTTATTGAACCCTGCAGAGAGTTACTGAGACTAAAAGAGGCTGTAAAGTAAATACACAGTTTGAAGGAGATTTATAGATAGTGACCTAAAATAAGCAGTATAACCAATAACTGGTGCTCTCACCTTGCTGTTTCTTGCGACACATGACAGTGAAGAGAGTGGCAAAGGCAGACATGATGACCAGAGGCACAGTGATGGCCATGGCACGGATAGGCCCCGCCCAAGGGGAGTGGACTGGTGACAAAACAAACGCACACAGGAAGAGACAACAACCTGGTCATTTAAAGTCTAGAGCAGTGGTTCTCAACTGGTCAGGCCTCAGGACCCACTTTTTCCTTTGTCAATAAATCCCGACTCGAAATTTGAACCACTCAAATCTATTCAACAAAAAATCGTGCAGTAATATATATGCTTTTCAGCATACAATATTAAATAAAGTGAAGTACAGTGCATATATCCCTTACATCCCTTCACAGAACAAAAGAATGCTTTTTAAAAAAAAGGTTGATGATGGAATCAAATCTGAACTGTATAACATAAAAAGGCACACATGCTGAAAACCCAACCCCAGTCTGGGGGGATTGTCCCCCAGGAGATTTGTAGAAATACTAACATATAAAACTACACATTCTGGTACACTCTGAGAAGAAATTAAATCAATCTATTACTACCCCACATGTTAATAATATTTTATGCCATTGTTTGTGTTTCGCTTTGTTCTGACAGCTTGCTGCTCCACACAGAGAGAAGAGCAAAGAGGAGATAGTCTGTGTGACTTACTTTAAATTGTGGGTAAGGGTATATAGCTCCCATTGTTCTGTGACCTGTTAATCATCAAACCGGGGGTCATATTTCATTATGTGTTTATTTTTATCTGAAGTTGTACCCATGGATGTATAAAGAGTAGTTGTACCACAAAGTTATTCTCCGTGGGGACTTCCGGCAACAATCTTGATTCTGATTGGCCAGAAGACTCGAAAAAACATCAGCAAAGATGTTTTATTGAGAAGATGATCACTACGTGACAGAAGTTTTCAAAACCGTTTATGGCCTACGGTATTTCCAGTCCAACGCCTACTGCATGCACAGCCTTCAAAATAAAAGTTTGACTTTTTTTCCCCAAAAAAAAAAAAAAAAAGGAAATATATATATATTTTTTTTTTCTTCACTCACATCTGCGACCCACTCGAAACGGGTCCGCGACCCACTTTTGGGTCGCGACCCACCAGTTGAGAAGCACTGCTCTAGACCATGTTACATTTACAGCATGAATGTGAAGGTGAAAACGTCATGATACAGTAGCTAAAGCAGAGAAGAGTCATAACATCAATGAAGGTGATTTGTAATGTGAAAAAGTTAAGTGTGTTTTTTGAACATGTTCCATTATGTCCACAAAATACAAGTACAAGCCTGAACATGTACCTGATATGTCCCCTCTAATATTGGTTAAAACTTGATTTATTATATACAGGAGGAAAATTGTTCTGCAGCAGTTGCTGTGTGTCTCTGTGTGTGTGTCTCTGTGTGTGTGTGTGTGTCTCTGCGTGTCTCACCCTGGCTGACGTGGTACTGAGTCTGCCTCCTGGTGGTATTACTGTCGTCTCTTAGCTTACACAGAAAAGAGGAAAAGGTAAAAGAAGAAAAAGAAAGGAAGAGAATGAAGGAAACAAAAGAGAGAAAAAATGGTTCATAACATGTTGGGACAAATTGACGTACCTTTAAAAATGTAGATTTGTGTTTGTCTGATGAATCTGGTGTTTTACATTTTAGTCCACGTGTAAGCGTAAAAAGGAAAATCCAGTTTAACCAGTTATCGGTGTGTAAATTAAGCTTTTGATGTACCTCTACAGTGTAGGTTCCCGGAGTTACGTCTTTGAGGATGCATGTAGTTCTGTACTGGTTCACATCCTTAGAGAAAAATAAAAACATTTCAATAAAAACGTAGTTTTCCTGCAGGCAGAACCACAGTCTTATCATAGGTAAGACATCTCTATTGTATGCTGTATTAAGAATATTTGCCCCACTTTGTTAAAGAAGAACTGAAGCTGTTATCGATGAACTGTTCAAAGCCACCGGACTCCATTAACGAAAACAGTAAATGTACCTTAGGAACATAGAAGGTGCCAGTCTACTGCTGCATCGATTGGTTATTTTGTTTGTGGTATCATGTGACTTTGGGGGTTCCAAACCAACACAAAAACCGATAACCGCGATATGCGTATGCGCGATATTCACATCGCAGGGACGTGCGATATTAAGTAATTAAATTAACTCAAACACGTCATGTTACAATTATTTTGCTGCTTGCTACAAAAGGAAAACTTGCGCGGCTCTCATGTCAGGGGTACTTGAGTGAGTGACATGCAGGCTCTGCATGCACAGCAAACCACCAATCACAATCATTCTTGATCAGATCACAGCAGGCCCCGACCCGCTAGTTTGCAGACCATCAAAACACCGTTAAAAAATGAGCGAGGAACAGGAAGACAATACAGGCGAGAATGAAGATTTACTTCAAAAAAGAAAAGCAACATCTGCCATCTGGAACTATTTTGGATAGAAAAAGGTTCTTCTCTTCTTCATTCACAGATGAACCCCCTTATTTGAGGGTAAGCAACATGCATTATCATGACATGTTAGATCATGACTTAAGGTTTGATGAGTCAACCAGTTAAGATCCAGATGTCCGTGACTAAAATCCTTCATCCGGTTAAATATAGTTAAAAAAAACGCAATATATATCGCAGGGAAACAAATATCGCAATGTCAGTTTTTTTTCAATATCGTGCAGCCCTAGTTCGTATTAATCCTAATCTGCAAAGTAATTAGTTTCTGAAGCTGTCAGATAAATATAGTGTAGTAAAATTATGAATTATACTGTGATGGAAGTATAAAATTCTATAAATGTGAATATTCGAGTAAAGTATAAGTACATAAAAAATGTACCAAGGTGTAGTACTGGAAATGCATTTTGTGTGTATTACTTCAAGAGAAGATAAGATTTACTTTATTGATCCCAATTTGTGATTTATTTTTCCTTTCCTACATTTAAAGCTAGGCAAGTTTATTTAAAGCACATTTTAACAACAAGGCAAGCGGTTCAATGTTTGAATAGTTGTTTGATTTAAGAAATAGCATTGACATAAAAAAAAACACACACATTTTAGGAGCTGACGGTGTGTGCCATTAAACAATGATAATATTACAAACAAACACCCAATGCATGAGCACACTCTGCATTTGTGTTGATTGATGATCAGCTTGGATTTCAGTCAGAGCTTCATGTGATGCCAGAAAATGGCTGACACGCTGCTCTTTCTTATTTCACCTCCTCTCCCTCATCTTTGTATCCGTGTGTGTGTGTTTGCATCCATGGGTCCATTCCAGGATTGAAATTAGTTCCAGCCCGTTCCCCTAATGGCTCCATAGATCATTGCTCTGTTCCATTTGGTAATCAGAGGACAGCTGTAGTCGCGCCCTCCACGCAAGAAATTACTCACTTTAATGAAGAAACTGTAATTATATTTTCACTGCAGAGAGGAAGAGGAGGGGGGAGGAAAGAGGAGGGAACAAGGGGAAACCTAAATGTAATGTTGAGGGCAAACACCATGATTGTTACTGTTAACTGAGGGGATACAGGATAAATGTTTTAATCCACCTACTGTCTTTTTGTATCCATACGTCATAAGAATAATTTTCAGTTATTTTGTTAAAGGGGCTTTATTTAGCCTTTTTTTGTTTTCCCTTTCCTGTAGTGTGTTATATAGGTTTCTGTGCATGTAAATGGTCTGCCAAGGCTAAAATCTCTCCCACAAACTAACCAAGCTTTTTGAACATTAAAGGTCACCTATCATGCAATATTTAGGCAATATCATAGGTCTCAGATATATAAAAATGTATTAAAAAATACCAAACAGATCACCCATTCTAGCCATGCCTCATATCCCTCTATTTCATGGCCTGTTACTAAAGTGCTGATTCGGGGTATAAAGCTTTAGAAAAAAAAAGAGGGGGCAGAGCTTATGCCTGCTCATGCGGGACCCGACAGATACTGTCTAAAATAAATGCTGCGGTGATGAAACGCCAAAACCGACATTCAAGGATTTCATTTCTGAAACATTATGGAGCTCAAAGGCGTTTCTCTCTTGCCGGTTTACCACAAGGGTTGAGTTCCTTTTTAGTTTCCGCTTCTTCACCACGATGTGCTCTCCCAGTACTGGTTAGCTCTGAAGTGTTAGCCGATGCTTGGCTAATGCTAAAAAAAAAAACATATTACGCTCCATAACACGTGGAGCATTTATTCATCCCTGGGCGGAGCCCGCCAGAGAGCCTTCAGGGAGAAGCGCAGCGTGGAGCAAAATAATAACGAGAAAAGCAAATGAAATAAAGTTGTTCACTTTGCGGTCACCCAAACTTTTGGCTGCTCTTGGGACGACAAAAAGGCTGTAAAAGTGACTCACTTCCCTCTTCACCTCCCACCTACCTCGTGTGATTTGGCCGGGCGGTTTTTTCGCATTGACTTTGATACAAACAGCAAGTACCCGTTCAGGCTGCAGCCAACGAGGATAGGATCTGCGTTTTTATTCCTTGATCTACGATTGCATCCCCGCCAGAGTCCTGCACGGGTCTGATTTTCGACGCACTCGCCCCGTATCCGATAGCGTACTACAATAGCCTAACCGAACCCGCTCCCGACCACCGCACTAGCCAGTCCGAAACCAAATCAGATCCGTCGGTCATCGCGCGAATCGAACCGGCAGCTTACGAGCAAGTGACAAACATTGCATATCTTTTCCCTAAAAGCGTGATGCAATGTGGTTATATTTCTCCATCGTAGGCATGAGCACACAAAAGCCTCCCAACACGTCGGACCTTTCGCTCTTGAGATAAGTGTACTTGAAAACATGCACTGACTATTCTCCACAGAGAGCCACCTCAGACCATTTCCGAATGTGGCCGCGCTAAGCATGACAGCCATTGATGCGGGACGACACGAGGTTATGATTATGCGCGGATCCCGCTCACGGGGAGAGCCTGAAGGAAAATGTTTAACATTAATAATACCATGATTATGTTCAAATGGAATATAAGTGCAAAACCTACGCGACACGGACCCGCACCTCTTCTCTTCGTTTCTACCCGAACCCGAACCGACTCTTCCTTATATTAAAAAGATACCACCCGCGAATCCCTTTTTTTTGCGTGATCACCCGTCGGAGGTACTCGACCCTATGGCAGGACTCTGATCATCCCCGCATCTCGTCTGTGCGCATCAAAGACGCAGACTCATTGGCTCCCACTAAAGTAAGAGGTCGAGTTTGTACCTTAAGGATTGCATTGTTGATCGCGTTCACTGTGTTGCCTGGGAACGTCATTCTAATAAATCGTAATGTATCCACAACGATGTGAAAATTAGTTAAAAAATGTTTAAAACATAAAGATAAAAATGGTTTTACATTTTTTATTGTTTTAATGGTTTTGAAGGACGGTGACGCTACCAGCCAATCAAATCGGATGCAGGTCAAGGTGAGTAATTTCAAATGCCTCAAAAAAGAGACG